ATCTATGTTTGGGTTCCTGGTTCCTAGGTAAAAAGCTGGGTATGATGGTTCTTGTCTATAACACTAGCACTGGGGAGGCATAGGCAGGAAGGCCCATGAGGCTTAGTCACAAGCTTATCTTCCCAAATCTGCACGCTCCTGTTCATTGAGAATCTAGTTAAAAGTCGAGGAGGAGAGTGACAGGGCAAGACACCTAATGTCAACCTCTGGCTGCTGCACACACGGACACACACACACATATATACAACACACACCATGCATTCACACATGCACACATGCAATATACTCAAAAATGAGTATCAAAAACAATAAATTATTGTGTCACAAGTTAGGAATTATGGTTAATTCAATTCAAGATTAATTTAAAACAATATTTAGAGAAAAAAATTTGCAGCAAGTAATTTAAACATGACTTCCATAATACTATTCTCATATGTTATTTATCTATTTTAAAATTTTGTAGGTAACTTTGTAATGAGATAAAACACAGGGAAAAAGGCAGAGACCTGTCCTGTAAGTGGAATGTTATTTCCACTAGATGGCAGGATTGAGCAAGCACCTTTTATGACTAGGTTAGTACTTTGTGGGGTTAATCAATTACTGAGACAATTTGTTTCTTCCAGGGATTTGTTGTCTCTGCAGCCATTAATGTCTCTCTTCCTGGTGGAAGCTGACCTAACAGGATGTTTTTGTTATCCAGTTCATAGACATATCTTCTTTGAGACAAAACAAAACAAAACACCACAAAAAAATAACAAAAACAGCAACAATGAAATGACTTCAAATCCAGGAATTTTAAAAACAACAGTCATTTTTTCAGCTTTTCTTTTCATCCTTTTCTTTTTCTTTTTTCATCTGTTTTTTCAGTGTATTCATCTCAGAATGCTATTTCATGGTGTATACTTATTTTTTGTGTGTGTATACTTCTTTTTAAAAAGTCTTTTTAAAAATACTTATGAGCAGAACTAAAAGGACTCATCGAGTTGCATTTACATATTTACTCATATATATATGTATATACACACGTGTGTGTGTGTGTGTGTGTGTGTGTGTGTGTACCAATAACAATCAAAGTAAAAGAAGCCACGAATGTGAAAAAAAATCAGGATTGGAGGTGTGACAGAGGTTATGGGGAGAGAAGGAGAGGGCTGATAGAGAATACACAAGAAAAATTAAAAATAATTAATTTCAAAAATTAAGATGTATGTATTTATAGGCTATGTCTTTGGTCCTCTGAATTATTGAATTTAATATACAAAAACACTATAGCCAGACACCTTAGGGGAGAGGAATAGTTAAAGAAATTCCTGAGTCTAAATTATTGTCCCTGAGACCTTGGCATGTAAGGTCCCCCAAATGACATCTCTTCCTATCTACGATGGGTTTAAATTTTATCAGGAAAGAATTGTTTTCCTGAGTCTTTTATTCTATAGTGTGTATACTGCTTGAAGGTTGTACTGCAGGTCTGGCAGAAGTTGCCATACAGAGTCCTTGAGAGCCCGAGGCTGTCAGAGACCATGATTTTCTCATCCTCATCAGAAGAATAAGGCCACATTAGATGTCCATATACTTGTCAGATCATACCGGAGCATCACAGAATCAGATAAGCTAAACTTCAAAAGCTTCATTGGATGTATAGGTTCTAATCTGCATAGGATGTCTGTAAAGTAACCCCCAGACATCTCGAGCAGTCTCCATGGCCATAGGCCGGGGAGAATGCAAGTACATGGAGAAAAAGACCCACCCCTACATGGCCTAGAGCTGTGGTTCTCAATCTGGGGTTCATGAAAGACCATCAGAAAACACAGATATTTACATTATGATCCATAACAATAGCAAAATTACAGTTATGAAGTAACAACAAAAATAATTTTATGGTTGGGGGTCACTACAACATTTGGAACTGTATTAAGATTCGAAGCATTAGGAAGGTTGAGAACTGTTGGCCTAGAAGATCTCACCCAAACTTTACAAGACTCAAATTGGGGATTGGAGCGGCTTAGTGAGATTAGACTCACTTCCTTTTCTGTTCCCTCACCTCCCAATGATAAAGTAATTTATGGATGATATTGGGCTAGTGTGATGGAAAATTAATAACTAAGAGGTATAAATTATGGCTCATGACAAGAAGCAAAAACTAGAGAGAAGATAACTCCCTGACTACAGAGTACAGGACCAGTGCCCAGGAGATAAAGGAGGAAGCCAGAGCCCACTGCCAGCATTCTCCCTGCCCCATAATCTTGAGAACAAGCCACTGAGGCTGCCGACCTTGTAAAGAAACTGCACTCTGTAAAATCTCTGTAACCTTGGAAACCTTGTGACCTGAGACTAGCGGTCTCAAACCTCTCTTTTCCTTTTCCATTTTAAAAATGCTTTGCAATTGTAAGGAGGTGCCATACTCTTCTGATAGAGTGAGGTCCCAGCCCGTTTGGTTCTTAGCAATAAAAACCTTTTGCTTTTGCAGTTGGGAGTCACTTCCTTGGAGGCCGAGGAAACCTAGCTAGTAGATACCTGATAAGTATCTGTCTTGATTTTTTAATTTTATATAGAATCCAAAGAATATTTATTGAGGCTATAGTTAAACTGTTTGGATAAATATTTATGCCATTAGAATGTAAGTTCCATAAGACAAGAATTTTGTTTGTTAGTTCATTTAGGTATCCTAACTTCCCATTGGACACATGGTTGTGGAATATAATTTTTAACGTGACAAAGATATATTGCATTTGCTTATGCTGTAGAAAATTACTTTAACTTTGAAATGTGCATTGCATTTGTTTATGCTGCATTTGTTAATGATATAAAAATGTGTTACATTCGTTTCACCCACCTAAGGCACCCAATTGGTCTAATAAAAGCTGAATGGTCAATAGCTAGGCAGGAGAGGAATAGTTGAGGATGGTGGGTAAGGAGAATAAGTAGGAGGAGAAATTTAGGCAAAGGAGAGAAGAAGAGAGAAGAGAATGAGGAAAAAAGAGAGGGACACTCCCAGGGTCAGAAGCCAGGCAGCCACCAGCCAGCCAGACCAAGAAGCAGTGAAAGTAAGATCTGCAGAAAGAAAGAAAGGTAAAAAGCCCTGAGGCAAAACATAGATGGAGAGAAACAGGTTAAGTTATGTGAACTGCAGAAAATGAAAAGATGTGGATTCCTTCCAGACTAATGTGGTTTGATCACGCCAGACCGCCTGAAACAGAGTACAAGCTAATCCTACATTCAAAACAGCTGGACAAAACAGCCCTACAGACTACAGCCAGGATATCTGAATCTTCTTCGAATCCCCCAAGACAGCGCCCCTTACCAGCAGGAAGTAGTTTGGAAAGAACGACGCCCAAATTCCCAAATATTGTGTATAAATGTTTGTTTTCATTTAATTGGACTTTGTTATATAAAATTAAATAAAATAAAATAAAAGTTATGTGAACTGGTGGGAGAACTGTAAGATAAGAAGTCTCCGTGTCATGTTTTGGGAGCTGGTGGGTAGTCCCCTCCAGAAAAGTCTGGTACAACACATGAAACACATTCAAATATTAGTTGAGTGAATATATGAATGAATTTTCATAAACCTTACATACATGCTAAGAGTGTGAATTTTTATCCTATTAGCATAAACCTTTGCCTGGGATTTTTGGTTTTCCAAAGCTTGAAAGAAGTATTTCACCTTAAATTGATATTGGAGAATGTAATAGTGCCAGGTGTTGAAAAATATAAACACATCCCTCAATATATTTTAGAATCTAATGAAAGCCAAATAGGGTTAAGATTAAGATTGCAGTGAATTTATGAGTCGGCTTGGGAAAATTGAAATATTACTGAGTTTTCCAAACCATGAGCAGAATATAACTTTGTCAACTGTCAGCAATCTTTTGTAGTTCTTATTACAGGCGTTGTTTAGGAAAATTTATTCTTAAGAATTCTGGTGTTTGTAAGGTATTATAAATAATAGCATAAAACTAATTGTATCTTCTGATAATTGCAGCTTGTGTGCAGAAATGCACCTGGTCTTTGGGTACTCACTTAGTACTGTGTGTCTTGCCAAATTGACCTTGACTTTTTTTGTCAGTAGCTTACTACTTGGCCACTTATAAGAAGTTTTGCCACTTCCTTTGTGACTTCCAGGTCTCTTACCTTTTCTGTATTATATTAAACCAGCACCTTAAATCAAAGGGTAAGTGGAAATGGTGGGAATGGACACCTTTCTCTTCTGATCTTAAGGGGCAATGGTCAGCATTTTCCTGCTAAATCTGCTGCCTGGGGATTCTGGGAAATGCCTGTAGCAGATTGACAAGTGCAGCTGTGTTTCTCCTTCAGTGAGCAGCAACCCTGCTTCCTCAGCAATCCTTTTACCCCTTCCTGTGGCCTTTGTCTTTATGCTGTTAGGGGCTCAGCCAGAGATCTTAGCAGAATTCCTGCACTACATTTGGGTGTCCTCTTTTACCCCATTTAATCAAGTTTTTAACAGAAGCCAATTGGTGGAAGCATCACAACTCAACCAGTCTAGCCACTGTAATTCCTTAATAGCCTATGCTCTAGATGCAGCCAATCATAGCTATCACTCAAGGGCATTTTGGTTTACTATTCTCTCTCTCTTTTTTTTATTTAAATTAGAAACAATCTTATTTTACATATCAATCCCAATTCCCTCTCTCTTCAGTCCTTCCCTGTTCCCCCCACCAACACCCCTCCAATCCCCATTCTGCTCCCCAGGAAGGGTGAGGCCTTCCATGGGGAGTCTTCAAAGTCTGTCACATGATTTGGATCAGGGCCTAGGCCCTCCCCCATGTGTCTAGGCTGAGAGAGTATTCCTCTATGTGGGATAGGCTCCCAAAGTCCATTCCTGCACTAGGGATAAATACTGATCCGCTACCAGAGGCCCCATAGATGGCATAAAAAGAACAATAATTTTATGTCTCTTAGAGATATCTATCTACAGGTCCCCAATTTTTATCTGCCAAGCTTCCACATAAACACAAAATTTAAAGTAAATTCTATTTACTTTTCAGACCATGTGGATGAAAGAACAATATGCAATGGAATTGCCCCAGAAAAAGATGTGGATGGATTTCATGTTATCAATATCGGAAGGCTGTGCCTTGATCAGCATTCGCTGATACCTGCCACTGCTAGTGCTGTTTGGGAAATAATAAAAAGAGCAGGTTTGTACCTGGGTCTGTGGGAAACTGGTAACAGCTGCAGGTGAGCTCCAGAGCTTTGCTTGGGTAGAGCTCCCTCTGTCTACAAGCGACAAAGATGATGGGCATAAAACTAAAGTCTATAAAAACGCTATATATACATACATACATTTATGAATGTCACAGAACAAGACGGAATAAAAGGAAATGAAAAACATGTGCCAGGTGATAGGCAAATGCAGTTGAAGTTTGAACTGAGTGAACCTCACAAATGTGGCCATGTCTACCTATTTTTGAATTATGCATTTTGATGACAACCTTTCCCAAGTGTAGACTATCTTGTCAGTCGTACAAGAACCATGCATGTTGACTGTGGTTTTTAATAAAAGTACATAGGCTTCTACTGTGCTGGACACATTGTATGTTCACAGGTTGGTGAGTACATTCATGGAGCTCCTTGGCTTCGCACACTGATGGTGTTCCTGCCCCCACATGGTCACTTCTGTTTTGGAAACATCTTTTCCTTTATAATCGGCTGCTTTCTAACTGATAGACAAACTCTTCAAGAGAAAGCAGATTCTAGAATCACATACTTGCCATCAGCACCTGGATAAGCCTCCGTTCCAGTTTTCTCCCTTTGACCTGTGGAGAGCCTGATGCCCCCACAGTGCAGAGGTGACTGTGAATGTAGCACGTCTTTCCGTGAAGTAACGTGTGTGCCCTTCCACTTCCTGTGGTTCCAGTCTTGCTAGCAGGCTGATTGCCATTTGTGCTTAATAGTGTTGTATGAACTTTTAGCCTAATTAGCAGGCAATATATTTTAATATATTTTAAGACTATACGCTTCATGTGAAACACAGCATTTAAAATGACTTTAATGGCAACTCGAGCATTCTTTTTTTTTTTTTTTTTTTTTTTTTTTGTGGTGATTTTTAAATGAGAGACGAAGTGGCGAATCCAAGAAGTGTAAAAGGAAATATTTATAAATAATTCAGCAAGGGCATGCTATGCTACAGACGGGTAGGAATTCCAAATTTAATTAAAAGTATTTAAAGAACATTTCGGTTGGCTTTTCATACGTTTAATTTGCTTCTTCTTGTTAGTCATGCTTTTAAACAAACCTTTTTTTTTTTTTTTTTTTTTTTTTTTAAGGAATTGAAACATTTGGGAAAAATGTGGTTGTGGCAGGAAGATCAAAGAACGTGGGTATGCCGATCGCCATGCTACTGCACACGGATGGAGAGCATGAGCGCCCTGGAGGTGAGTGACCTGCAGGGCTTTGGGGCCGGAAGTTCCTCCCTATGTCAAGACTCCTGACAGTGTGTGAGACTGCACACTTCTGGGTTCATGCACCTCATCTCATGCTGTGAGAGTCTGGAAAGTACAAATATATTAGTTGCTATTTGACTGCTGTGACGAAACACGTGACCAATGCAACTTGTGGAAGAGTGTACTGGGGTTTACAGTTTGAGAGGGTTAGAGGTCACGAAGGTGCAGTGGAGGTGGCAGGTGGCTGAGGCAGCTGAAAGCCCTGTCTCTAACAGTACGCGAATGAAACACACTGGGAATGGCAGGAGGCTTTGGAAACCTCTAAGCCCAGTGACAACCAACATCTTCCAACAGGGCCACACCTCCTACTCATTCCCAAACACTTCCACCAACTGGAGACCAAGTATTCAAATGTATTAGCTTCTCAGGGTTGTTCTTACTCAAACCACTGCTGTTGAAAATATGTGACCCTTTGGTCTGTTTCTTTTGCTTTCTGTCTTCCTATTTCACTTATCACTTATGGCTGCAAATACTTTTTTTTTTAATCGAATAGCAATGCATTAGAAAAGGATAAAAGCCACTAGATAAAAAGTCACTACTTCAGAAAATTCTCGAAACCTTTAGAAGTTGAAGGTTGAGTTGTAAAATGGTTTGGCATACCACAAGTCACCTGGTTATTTCCCTAATAGGAATGGACCCTGGTGCTTAGGACTCCCAGCTGATTTTTCTGGGTTAGACACCTATGTTTGCTCCGAAGTAAGAGTGGCGACTCACGATGAAAGCCCAGTGAGTCGTGAGGGTATTTGGGAAACACCGCACATTTCCTGGGGCCTGCTGCCTCACCTCCCTCCTAGGACCTCGTCGTTTTCAGTTGTCTGATAGCTGGGTACTGAGAAGATCCATGGCAAGGACTGGTGATCCCGTAGGAAGGACATTTTGCAAAGGATAATGGACACTGTTCACAGTGTCTGCGCCAATGCTGTGGAAGTTACACAGTCCAAGTTCACGGTTTCAGCAGAAACAGCTGCTAATCTGTGTGGGTGCCACCCAAGTTCACTGGGACCTTCACTGATCATCTTTCCCAATTATTGCATTTAAGCTTATATTCTATACTGCAAGAACTTAACTGAGCCCTTTAATTACAAAAGAGGGGGCTGCTTTTGTTTAATGCCAATACATGTATACATCACCATATGCAGGTGTACAGAGATTTCTAAAAATGTATTATCCGGTTGAAGCTCAGTTTCCAGATTTCAGGTCAGTTCTGGTTTTTTTTGGGGGGGGCAGGTCTTTTTTTTTAGGGTCTATATGATGATAATACATATGAAGGAATTTTTAAGACACAAAGTCCTATGAACTTATCTAAAGCAATGCCCAGACATGATGGCACACACCTTTAGTCCAATCTCTCAGGAAGCAGAGGCAGGCAGATCCCTGTGAGTTCAAGGTCAGCTTGGTCTACACAGTGAGTGCTAGGCCAGCCAGAGCTACTTAATAAGACCCTGTCTCAGAAAAAATAAAAAGATGAGGATGAGCTTGAGGCTTTTGAATATTATTTTCTGTTCTAAGAGTCTATCATGGGAAACTAATACATGTGCATGGATCATAGTAAGTTGGGCTTGGTGGTGATTCCGGGCCATTGCCAGGGCACAGATCTTCCCAGGCATCATCCCTGGCTTCACTCTTCCCTTCCAAATCCCTCTACTGTTACCATTCTCATGGTGGAAGAATGCTGGTTCCCCCTAGTCTTAGTGTAGTAGTTTTATGTTAAGGCAGGTAAAACAGCAGAGATTTTACAAGAATATAGTACTGTTCGTGGAAAACTTTGGTCAAGAGCAAGTCCTTATTTTCGACAGTCAGTTTTCTTCTCTCATCGATAACCACTGAGGGTCATTCTGGACCTCATGTTTTGATGAGAACTGTCTAGACAGTTTTCAATACTTCTGGTACATAGAAGGAATTATTATTCTTATTTTACAGACAAAGCTTGTAAGACTTTTGAGGGCTTTGAAGTACAGTCCCTGAACTAGGAGCTAGGGGATGAGCACCTGCCATGGTTTAGTGCATTGGTCAAGATACAGACTCATTGCCCATCCCTACCCTTCAATAGGCAACTACCCTTTAAGACCTTACTGTTCTTATCTGTAAGAAGTGCATAGCATTGGTATCTCTCTTACTTAGTTACTGTGAAAATTCAATGAAATACAAGTTTTAACAAAGCACTAGTTACAATGTGTTTGAGATGTTACTGCCTGGCACACAGTATTGGTTAAGTGAGTGACTACATGTAGCCATGACAGCTGCTGTTGTGTCAATAAATTGTAAGTTAAAAACCTGTAACACACCACTTACATATTTCCAGGAAAATACCCTGAGGTTAATGATGATTTTTTACTCAGCTTTAATTTGAAAGTTAGTTTCTTTTCCCATTGAGCTTTATTATGATCATATTTACTTTTTTGTATTTGAAAAAACTTAACTTATGAAGGTTTACCAAGCTATATTAGATATTTGCTACCATAATACTCCAACACTGCTTGACAACATATTTTTTCTTGTGGGCTTCAATAGGTAATATGCTAATTTATTGTCATATTTCAATTATGAATTATTGATAAATTACCTTAGAAAAATCTACCCCCTTTTAATTAAATTTTAGACTATATAATACTGTGATACAAATACTGCCTTACAGATTTTAGCATATGTGGTTATTTATAGATACATACATATTTAGTAAAATATCAAAATAAATGTAAATTGGTGGTGGAAATGATTTTTAAGGATAGAATTATGGGGTTAAAACTGATTATTTAGAAAATATTTCATATTTTGTTCAATAAAATTTCTCCCCCTTAGTGAATACAAAAAATGGAATACATGTAGAATTAGTTATAATGTTGCTCACAAACCAGTTTGTTGAATTTACCTTTATTATAGTGGAACCTTACTTCTGTTATAATTACTGTATCTAAAAGGTAACAAATTATACTAAAAAATGACATTGAAGGTTTGCCACTTGGGCTGTATTTAATTATATACACATTTAGTAGAATCGTGGTGACATATATTATTAATATAATGAACTGTAGCAAGCAACTTATGAATATTTGGAGTCTGTGGGAAAGTTAGTGTTTGGATGTCTTTGCCTGGCAGAGCTGTAATTACATGCATTGTTATCTAATGGAGATAATGAAGGTGGATTAACTGCAAATACATATCTAAAGAACTTGCTCTAATGACACAATGTTGAACATTTAGCTCACACTGTGTATTGTTATGCCAGGAGAGACTCAGAACCTAATAATTCACTTGTAATCTCAAAGAAAAATTAATTTAAAAGACAGCCATATTGTCATTTAATTTAATATGTCTGTTCCCTGATCACTTTAAGTTTTGACAGTAAAATTTGCACAAAACTTCATCATGATCTTGACCTCCTTTGCTCATATACATTTCATCCTCCCTCTCTTTGACTGGCTCTATGATGACAGATGGGGTATTCACCAGTCTGATTACAGAGGAAGTCCAGTCCAGGTACCCTCTCCACTGTTGCTAGGAGTCTTAGCTGGGGTTATCCTTGTGGATTCTTGGACTGTCTGAGGGGCTCCTGGCAGTAGGAACACAGTACAAATCTGGTACATGAGTTAGCTTGTTGGAGCCCATTCCCTATGGTGGGATGCCATGTTCAGCCTTAAGGCATGGGAGGGGGGCTTAGCCCTGCCCTAACCTATTATGTCAGATTTTGTTGACTCCTCATGAGAGCCCTTACCCCTGTGAGGGAGTGGACTGGGGTAGGCTTGGGGAAGGTGAGGGATGGGAAAGGAGGAGGGACAAAAGACTGTGGTTGGAATGTAAAATGAAATTTAAAAGAATAAATGAATTATTAAAAACAAAACAAAACAAACAAACAAACAACAACAACAAAAACCAAAGAGCCTAAAGTTTGGGTATTTGTAAGAAAAATCTTAGTTTACTCGGGGCTTGACACATTCAAGAATAAGAATGTATGTAAATCTCTAAGTGCAAGGGCTAAACCACTGCCCCCTCAGCTTGAAGACTGCACCCTGCCCCCAGCACTGCACAGAAGCAGGGATGGAGCCACAGGCCCTGCAGGGGGTTGGGGAGGAGGTCAGACACCACAGAGCTCCTGGCTCAAGAGACTGATTCCCTGCTCCCTGACAGTCTTGGTGGAAGTGAGTGATGATGGGTTCATGGCATGAGAGCACAGGAATTTATCAACATTCAGCGAAAAGCAAACATGCCCCTACGTAGGGCAGCCCAGGCGTGGGTGAAGTGACATCACAAAATAATAGTAAAAGTTGCTTCTTGTCAAACAGCAATTCCTACAATGTTTAAGGACCGTTATGACCATCGTGAGGCTGTAGGGTATTTTACTTTTTTCCCCAGATTTAACTTTTTATTGATTCTTTGTGGATTTCATGTCATGCATTTCTATCCCACTCATCTTCTCCATCTTCTCATTCCTTCCCATCCACCTTCTGACCTTGCAGTTGCCTTGCCTCTGGGTTAAAACAAAATAAAATTTGAAAGAAAAGAGAAAAAAAGAAAAAAGAAAATCTGGCTGTGGAAGCTGTAGTGTGACACAGTGAGTCACACAGTCCTTTAGCCCAGTTATTGTTGCTTGCCAGTGTTCATTGCATTTGGGGTCTCTGGCTTTTGTACATCATCAATACTAGGCCCTCACTGGGGTTCCTCTTGGATGATCCTGTTATTGCCCTGTGTCAAGAAGATCCTGTAACTTTGGGTCTGCAGGACCAGCCCCTTCTAGTGGAGAGCTGACTCTGAGGTCACTAGAGTGAGAGAGCTGGCCCTGTCTCTCACCAGCTGCAGCACAAGGCAGAGTGGTCCCTACACCTTGACTAGTCAACACAGTAGAGCTGGCCTGGTGGTGTAGGTGTGGGCAAGTCAACCTTGAAGACATGAGAGCAGGAGACTTGCCCCACCCCTAGCTACTTACTACATAGGAT